AAAAAAAAAAAAAAAAAAGAAATATTGGGCTTGAGCAAAGTCTTATTTGAAAGAAGAAAATAGTTCCTGGATAAAGAAAGTGTTTGAAAATCCTCTGCTCTAAGAGGGTTGTTTTTGACTTGTTGAAAATATTTTCAGAATAATATTTTTCTGAAAAATAAGAATAAAGTTAGAACACAGTAAACCAATGATCAGAATCTAGAATTAACACTTAGAAAAATTTAAATCCACCAGTGAATTTTCATTATTTCAATTTTTAAAAATGAAATAATGATTTATTTTGCTATTTAGAAGGACAACCACCCTTCGTTGTATGGAGCAGAACATCATCCTTAGCCTACCTAGATGGTATGATTATGAGAACATGGAAACTAGCCACCTAGCAAATTTCTAGATCAACATCAGCAAACTCTCTTTTATCAGTGAATATTTTTGTATACACATATACATTTTCATATTTTTATTTATATGGTGTTATATCATGCCCACAATAAAATTAAATATTGAAGTGATGAGATAAAAATAAGCACAAGTATAAAGTCTAATACGTGTATTTAATAAATACTGTGTTCTCAAACTCTAATCTTGTGCAATTCTCTCTGGAAACTGCCAATTTAGCGAGTACATGGTAACCAAGCCTAAAGAATCACTTAATGTATCTTGGAGATGAATATCCTGCTTAGCTTTCTACAGCTCTCTGCCCTCACCTCTCATCCAAAATAAGATTTTTAGAGGTACATTTATAAGGATGATATAATTGTGCAAAACTGTTTTAAGTAATGGTACCTTAAAGAGACTATTTCCTAGATCTGGTATTATAAATACATGCTTCATTCATACCAGATAGAATGTTCCTTTAAAGAGGCAAAGACTGCTATCCAACAGCCAAAAGAATCTTAAGCAACATTTATAATGATGCTATGGATACCCTGCACATTTTTAGCTAATCTAAAGGGTGCTTTGACATAAGAACATAATGCAAGGAAGAGGATAAAATATTCTTATTGAGAATAAGAATTTATTATACCACTTACACAGAAAGAAAATACTTTATCACGCCACTTATAAGGAAATTTTTACATGACAGTTTTGAAGTTGACAAGTTATAGCTTAAACATATTTACTGCAACTATAGCATACGTGCACTTATTGCGATCAGCCATGAAACATGCTCCAAAGTTCAACTTTATGGGTTAAAAAGTTAATTACATTCGTCATAACAGTTTAAAATCACTTTTGCTCTTATTTTACAGAGAGTCATAATAGCAGAATGTAATAGCTATGCTCATGAAACACCGTCCGTTTGCAGTAAAAACAACTAATGTGTCTCAACTTTCCATTTGTTTGCAAGTGCTTAAGTTTAGGTGCAAAGTTAAGTATGAATGCTGGAAAGCATACAAAAGCTGATTTCATTTCCAAATCTCCATCACCCACATCTACCACAATGTCTGGCTTAAGTAAGCACTTGGTATAGATAAGCCGAATGAATGAGGTGACAAAAGAATAAATGAATATAATGGACTTATGGACATGATTCTGTAAACAACTGTAAAGAGAAGAAAATCGTGGAAATTGAAAAATAAGATTTAAGTCTAGAACATGTAAGATATAGAGTCTGTATCTTATAATAAATCTATAAGCAGAAGTGTGCAAAATATCAAAAACTCATCTAGTACATATACAGGTAGAATTAACAACAAATGTAAAGTGGTATCAATTCTTCAGACTTACTTCATAAAAGCAAATAGCAATAGTGTATCTGACTGGTACTTCAGGGTCATGACAAAGGCAGAAGAATGTAGAATAGAGTTCCATGTGGAAGTTTTTAGGATCAACAAAAACAATCATGGCCTGGTGGAGGTGGAAGGGAGGAGATGAGTGGGAAGGAGAGAAAAACATGCATCAATATCTAATATTATGATCATTTCACTTAAATTGAAATCATGTTCTCTGAACTGTAATTAAGTCCAAGATCATATTTGGAAGATCCAAATGCATGCATATAGTTCTGATTTATAGACAGAAACACACATTTCTCAAATATTTCTTCCATCCCTGCTATGTATACCAGATACAATGTCAAGCAGCCAGCATCAAATATGGTGATATTTTTAACGCTATATGTTCACGTTTTAAAGTTCTAATCAAAAGCTCAGTAAATTAAAACATTTATTACCGGAAAGTTATAAGCACAATTCTTCCGTACTGAAATATATTTCTTCTCCTGCTCTAGAATTTGGGGTGGAATCTGGTTTTCATTGTGGCCATTTTCTTGTTGCAAACCTAATGTGGAAAGTTTCTTATAAAACTCCAAAAATCTCAAGTGTTGATCTGGAGTAAAAATTCCTAAAACAAATGTAAAACCTATGTTCAACATTTTATTTAAAAGCAAAAATTCAAAAAGAAAATCAAAATATAATAAAAACATAATTGAAACTAAATATTTAAGTAAATGGTGAAACTAGTCCATAAAAGGAATGAGGAAAGACTATCACAGAGAAATCTAGCAGCTCATAATGTTTCATTTTACATTAATTTTAATAACATTTTGATTCAAAAGTATGACTTACGTAATGTAGGAACTATGCTATAGACCCCTAACAAATTATCATACAATAATAACCTTGTGAATATTTATGTATATTGCTATTTACTTATAGTAAATATTAAATAAAATTGTCTGCAGAAAAGATATGTGTGTCTGAGAGAGGAAACTTAAAAATTGAATCAGAAAGATAGCAAAGTAAATTGAAAATCATGGTTCCCCATTCATTAATTATCTCAGGGAGCTAGGAATCCATATTTCTATGAATCATTTTTTTAAACAGTCTACTAAATGTCTGCAATCCACATAAAGAAAATGTTTTACAATGCTAAACAGTTATAACTTAATTCTCACATTACTATAGTTAGGCTAAGAACCAAGTATTGTGTTCAAAATGCCAAGAGTTATGATATTATTCTATATTCTAATCTGAACTTCTCACATAGCATATTAATTAGTCAACAAATGGCTTGAAAGGTATGCTTAATATGCATCAGTAGTTAATTTACCTAAGCCTCCATTATCTTAGACCAACTAATACAGAACATTCAGAAATTTAAAGAGCTATGCTTACTTTATTCTGTCATTGTTTTTTCCAATAGGTTCCGTTAGTGAAAAAGTATTCCTAAATGCACTCTAAATTACGCGGTCAAAATTCTAACATCTCATAAGATTTTATGCACTTAAAATAGATGTTTTACAAGGGAAGAGCTGAAGTGTAGTGGCAAAGAGAGAAAAAAAGGAAAAAGTTATGTACAGTCTTAAAATTCTTAGGATATATCATACCATATAGTCCATGGCATAGTTTTCCAAAATGGAAAGATAAAGAAATAAGAATTGATTCATCTGCTTTGAAAGATTTTTCACAAAATGATTTCACTAAAGGAAGTATAGTTTGACTTCTGTCATCTGGAAAAAAAAAAAACAAGACAATACATACTTTAGATTGAGTTGCCCACACTGCACATGTAGAAACTAGTATTTACACACAAACTCTAGAAAGAAAAATTACTATCTTAGCTTCACAGTAATAGAAAATATCTGTGATTCAGTGGTTGCCACTGCGCAGATGGGATTCATCTCGCTCCGCTTCCTCTGTGACCATGTCTGACAAACCTGATATGGCTGAGATGGAGAAATTCGGTAAGTCGAAATTGAAGAAGACAGAAATGCAAGAGAAAAATCCACTGCCTTCCAAAGAAACGATCGAACAGGAGAAGCAAGCAGGCAAGTCCTAATGAGATGAGCACCACCAATATGCACTGTGCATTCCACAAGCATTGCCTTCTTAATTTACTTCTTTTAGTTGTTCAACTTTGTAAGACGCAAAGAGGCTGGATCACAGTCATTTAAACTTGAAGAATCCCACGGCTCCTGTAGGAAGTTCAAAGCCCTTCCTAACATTGAAACATTTTGTCATTTCAAGCTTCTCCTTCTTCACCACATACCTCCTTCATTATTACTTGTAGATATTTTCTTTTGTTTTTTTTTTCAGATTTTAAAACTTTTTATTTGCATTATTAAAAAAATTGTGCATTCCAAAAATTAAAATCATTTGGACCCAAAAATGGCACTCTGATTAAACTGCATTTTACAGCCTGCAAGAAGCCCTGGGCCAGCTTAGTTTTAACTCTAGATTTCACTGTCGTCCTACCCCGATTCTTTCTTCACCAACACGCAAGTTCTTTTCCTTCCCTGCTGGCCAGACAGATGGTAAAGGCAGGCGCAGCCTTCGTTGTCAGTAGTTCTGGATACTTTGATAGTTAATCAATCCCTTGAGTTTGTTTGCTTAGTTTATAAGTTTCTGATACACAGTATAAGCAATATTCTAGTCTTAATTCTAAATACTCTCCAAATTTCCCATAGTTTCCTTAGGTTTTCAGAAATAAATCACTACCTTATGAAGCATCTACAGTAAAGTAAAATGTTGTAACAGGCTTATCAGTATTTTTGTTATTACCACTATTATCATCATCGCATTTCAGTGCCTAATCCACTGTTTTTATTAAATGACATTCACTCAACAGAACAAGCATTATACCTAAGGAGAAATAAAAGTATAAGGTTGAATAATAAATGGTCTCTGAACTTGAGAAACTCAAACCAGCAAAGAAACCAAATATAACAAAAAATCCTAAGACAATATGATCACTGTTTTAGCAACAAGCATGAGGCAGGGATCTCTAAACCTTTTTGTAAATGTTCTAGGCCTTGCAGGCTATCTGTCCTAACTATTCAACTACGTCTTTGTAGCACAAAAACAGCCACCAACAATACAAAAACGAATGAGCAAGGCTCTGTTTCAATAAATGTTATTCACAAAAACAAGTGGCAGACCAGATTTGGCCTATTGGCCATAGTTTGCCAATCCCTGGTATAGGGATGTGGAAAGATATCAGAAAGGAAGCTATATTTGAACTGAGCACTAAAGAAGCAGAGATGGCTAGAAGAAAAAGAGAGGGAAAAGAATAAAAGGTAGAGAAAAAAATATGCAAAAAGTAGAAGTATGAACGAATCTGGTATGCTAAGTGGAGCCAAACATCAGTTATTGGAAGAGTAGGAAAGAATGGTAAGTAATAAAGCCATCAGCATAGGTTAGGCCCAGATCTGTAATAACAAAGTGTGGGGCAGAGAAGAAAAGACCAATGATCGCACCAAGGTGTCGAGGATAGAGCCTGGGGGTGTCCCATTATTAGAAACAAAAAGCTTCATTCATTTATTACATGTTGCCATTTTCATTCTTTTGGATTGTCATACTGCCTAAATGATTATTCTGCAAAAGTTATACATAATTATTGTCCACACTGTAATAATCTGTAAGAGATAATCTGTTCAGATAAAGTGTTGGTAATCCAAGTAAATGTAATCCCACAAACACAAAATTAAATTTCGCACCTAGATACTTGACATTTGCCCCTCCAAATTTCACCCTATCAAAATAGTTAATGTTTACTTATAAATGAACACATAGTATTAGTTAGGAATCTAGTCACACGCTCATTAGAGCAGTTAACTGTTTCTGTGATTCGATTTGCACAACACTAAGAAATACCTCCTTACCCCTTTCCACTCAAATATGCTATCCCAAATTTCTCCCCCCATGGTCATAAGATTTCTGGTACTGAAATATTTATTATTAAGGAGGAAAAACTCATTTAAACAACATTTTGGTCAAATGTGTCTTAATGTCAATTGGTTGAAAAAATTCAAGTCAAATTCTTAGCCCTATCCACAAGTCACTTAAATTCTGATGAGAGAAAGAGAGATGGAATATGCCCAGGATGCCAGGCACTATGGTTTAAATATGGTTTGTCCCTACCAACACTCTTTGAAGGGTAGCTCCAATGTGGCAATGTTGGGAGGTGCAACCTTTAACACATGGGGCCAAATGGAGTCATGTGGGTCTGGGGGCACCAGTCTTATAGTTAGACTGGTTATATTACTGTTGTACTGGGTTCTTGTCCTCAGGCGAAGGGAGGGACAAGATTAGTTCTTGAGGGACAAGGTTAGTTCTCTAGAGAGCAGACTGGGGTAAAGCAAGTCAGCCTCTTTCACTCTCTCTCCCTTACCCCCAGCCACTTTCCCTTCCACTTCTCCACCACGCTATCACGCAGCCAAAACTTCTTTATAAATTATCCAATCTCAGGTATTCTGTTACAGCAACACAAAACAGACTAAGGGTAAAAAGGACAGACTAAGGCTCCACACTGGAGCCACCCTTAAGGTTTACCATAAGGGAAAAAGAGGAAGCAGAGAAGACAGCCAAAAGAAAAAGAATCATAAACATAGAGGAAGAGGAGGAGCGGTTTAATATTTACCATAAAACTTAAAATAAGGGCAGGTTCCATAGCTCATGCCTGTAATACTGGTACTCTGGGAGGCCAAGATGGGTGAACTGCTTGTGCTCAAGAGTTCTAGACCAGCCTGAGCAAGAGCAAGACCCCATCTCTACTAAAAATATAAAAACCAGCCAGACATTGTAGCGGGTGCCTGTAGTCCCAGCTACTCGGGAGGCTAAAGGAGAAGGATCACGTCAGCCCAGGAGTTTAAGGTTGCTGTGAACTGTGATGCCATAGCACTCTATTGAGGGCAACAAAGTGAGACTCTGTCTAAAATTAATTAAGTAAGTAAATTTAAAAAACAACATAAATTCCAAATCTACCTTTGCTACTTATGAGTGATTGAAAACATATGGAAAAACATTGTTTTCAACACAAAGATGTATTTAAGTGAAGATTTACCTGTGTCAAATATGTCAAGCAGATTAACCAAAGTTTCAAAAGCTGCAAGTCGCACACTGCTGCCTTCATCCCTGGAGAGTTCTATTAATTCAGGGAGCACCACACTTTTTGTTAGTTCTGTCCTGCACAATAAAGTAATAAAATAAATCAAATCAATGTATTTATAGCAAGAACTTGCTAGAAATAAGCACTGGGCAATGTGCTATAGAAAATATGAAAAATCATAAAGATATTGATCCGGCTCTCCAGGCTTACAGTTGGAAAAGTGTCATATAAACATAAGAAATGGTAATTTCTCAATCATTTAAACCAATCCTACTCCTCCCAGCATAATATTGTTACCTACAGAGGTAACAGAATATAAATTTTATAAATTATAATACAGTTTTTCATTTTAAGCAATTTCAGCAAATAATCTGGACTAACTAGAAAAACCCAAATAAAATCTTTCACCTATATTTCAGGGCATAAATTATTTTTCCACTCACCTAAACCACTACATTCTAATAATTTCTATATAGAAAAACAATATATGATACTAGATGTTCCACCTAAAAGAATAAAACACACTATAAATACTATTAAAGAATATATAACATTTGTAATAGGAAGTACATAATATTTATAATAACCACAAATAGTTCTTATTCAATAATTTAATCTGTTTCTGCTTATTCCTCATGATAATATAAAACTACAATGACATAAACACTCTGAAAAAGGAGAAGCTTATGAAGTGGCCACTTTCTTGGGTACAAGATGGAAGATGATGTCATTATAATTGACATAAGATGCTGATAGACTCCCAGAATGATAGAGTCATGAAGAGCTGCAGAAAGCCTAAAAAAAAAATCAGGGCAAAGATCAAAGACTCTTAAGACGAACGCTGTCAAATGGAACTTCCTGCACTGATGGAAAAGTGTGTTGTCTGCACTGTTCAATAGGGTAACCACATGTGGCTGCTAAGCATCTGAAATAAATTCAGTATGACTGAAGAACTGAAGTTTTCATTTTAATTTTACTTAATCTAAATTTAAACACTCACATGTGCCTGGAGGCTACCATACTAGACCGCATAGCTTAAAGACAAGAACTTAAGCAATTGGAGGGACAAAAAAATGTTTTGAAGAGATTAATCTAGATCACCCAGAATCACACATCAGCATTACCAATAGTTTATAAACATTCACCAAATACTGGTCACAGACAGGGGAGATTAAAATGAAAGAACATATCCAAATGTTGTACAAATTAGTTTCATAGCAATTTTGCTCAAGATGTATTTGTATACTCCCAGATATCCTTGAATTTATTATCTATGAAAGACAATAGTTTAAAATAAAGTCTTCCATTTCTATTTACAGTCCAAAGTTATTTCAATTCAATTTTTAAACAGATTTCTCTCTTTTCCTAAAATATTTTAAGTCAAGCAAATTAAACTTAATTATCTTAGGGTACTAAAAATGAAAATAATAAAAATTAATAACTTTCATTTCATTAATTATTTTGGGAGTTCAGATTTTGATTTTTTAAAAATTTCAATCTCTTTCAAATTTCTAGTTTTAAACATTTATTATTTCCCTTATTTAGTGAATTGTTTCTCTGTATTAATAACTATTTATTAGCTGTAGAATGTTTCTTAGTGCCGAAGACAGGGAAAGTGAATAAATTAAATCTGTATTTCAACAGTAGTTTCTAAGGACATGTCAATTTCAACTTACCAATTTAGATGAGGGTGTCCTTATTTCCAAGTAGGTTAAAGCCACTAAGAACTACTTTACTACACATTAAAACTGCATTGTTATATGTTCATTATCAAAATTTAGAAAACATAAAAAATATGAAAGATAAACTAAAAACATCTATAACATTCAGAGAAACTCTAGAAGTTTCAATTAATCTATAATCTAAAGCCTTCCAGATTTTCATTTCATTCATATTGTGTACATCATCTTTGGGCTTCAATTTCGTTGTTTGTGAAAAACAAGTGACAACACTGTCTATCTAACAGGACATCTATGAAGACAGTAAGCTCATATATGTAAAGTGCTTACAAAGTTGTAAGTGCATTGAATAAACATTGTCTTTACTCTATTTGCCAATATTGTTATAAATTTTGACATAAACATCGAATTGCTTAGATTCATTTCTAATAGAATAATATAGAATAAGCCAATAATAAGAATACACAAAATGTTGATATATATTATAGAACTCACAAAGATTGTTGAGTTTATGTTTCTCTCAGCAGTACATGAAGATACTTCCTGCACCTTTGCCAATAATGCAAGATTTCTAATTAACTTGTATAATTTCGTTGACAAAAACAGTTGACTCATCTTTGCCAATATCTCACATTGCTGAATAACTGACTACTTAATTAACTCTCCCACCAAACTCTAAGCACTTTCAAGACAGGATATTTTCTTCACTATTACATCATATGTAACACATTGCTTACCTATAGGAGTTGTTCAATACATATTAAGGGAAATCAACCTCTTTGTATAGTTCAACTAATGGGGTTAGTGGCTAATGTTTATTAGCCACTTGTTTATCTTCTTTACGAAGTGTATGTTCATTTCCTTTGCCCAATGGTCACATTGTAAGTTTAAGGGATAATGGCAGACCATATATTATTCAAATATTTTTCCTCTTTCATTAGTTTTTCTTAGTAACTGTATTATAGCCTTGAATAATTTTTTTCAGGAAGTATATGTAGGCTAGATATTGCCTAAATGAGTATATTTATTAGAATATCTTTCTCCTGCCTTTACATGTAAACCCCACACTAGCTAAGGCAGAATTCTAAGTCATGCTTCTTTCCACTAAAAACCTTTCTGATATTTAAGGTTCTAGAACAGAAGTCTGAGATCAGCTTGACTCTATTACCTTAGTAGAAGCCAGTTTTATCAACTTAGATGTCAGTAATTACACTCTAACCCTTCCCTGATGTCATAAGAGGATAAAATGCAGGGTGAGGGGTAGTAAGACAAATAAAATGGCAACTGGCCCAGCTAACCAACCAGGAATTCTAGGGTCGCTATGATAGAAATTTATCCAAGTGTTGGCTAAGCTTTGGTATCATCTGATGGTAGGCTGTGTGCTCCAGCTTAAATACCAATGAAGATGATTCTGAGTTCTATGGTTGGCCAGAACCACAGGACAACAGCAGCAATTCAAGAAGTTTCTCATTTGTTTGTACCTTTTTCCATTGACCTCCAAGGAGACTGGGCCTGAAGAAACACTGGCAACCCAGTCATGTCCAGCTCTCTTTTTATAAGATGAAAGTGGCTTCTAGCATTCTTGTTCAGCCCTCAACTACATGTTCCCCCTCTGCCAGCAGCCTTTGGGTCTGGCAAAGTCAAAAATGTAGACAGAGGATGAAAACCAATTATCAATACTATTACATCTGAATCTGAATTACTGTGATGGTTTAGTGTATTCTCTAAAATACAAAAAATTAAAACACAGGTATTCATACCTGTGCAATTTAAAATAATTGTCTATTTTATGGACACCTATAGAAAGATCTTAGCCTATTTGATTAATATTGCCTGCTATTTGATGAATTCCTTTAATCTTCAGAGCTGGGCCTTGAAAGAAGTTCTGTTCCACCTTGCTTCTAATTATCGCATCTCGGTCATATGAGGTGATCACTTACTTCATCATGAATATCAGCTGTTTGTAAGTTAGGTCACTCTTTACTACATATCGAGTACTTTGTCTGTTAAAAAATTCATACATTCATCCTTTTCTTCTGAATTCTGAAGAGAGAATTCATCTTCTAAGTCGTTGACTGACTACAGTTTGCAAGCAGTGCTTAATGGTTTACTAGCCTTCCTTGAATTTTTCTATTCCACTTTTAATTTCCTTTAAAATATTTCAATTTTAACTAGATTTTTTATTTTCTTTTTCCTCTGCAACTTTTTTCACTATGTTACATCATCAAATTTTCAACCTGATTCTATAGCAGGGAGGTTTTCTATGATAGAATTTTGTTGAAATAAGTAGATGTCATTTAATTTTCTATCGGACAAAATTTCAATTTTCATTTGGTTTTCTTGATTGTTACTAGCTATAGTGAAGAAAAAAATAGGTAAAATCAATCCCCTATTTAGAGTGCACACTTACTGAGGAGTTTTGACAGCCGAAACACCTGGGCAACCATCACCACAATCAAGATACAGAATGTTCCCAACATTCTCAGAAGATTCCACAATCTGCCTCTCACAAGAGCAGACATCGATCTGCTTTTTTTTTTTTAATTTTTTTTTTTTTTTTTTTTTGCATGGATCTGCTTTTTCTCTCCATGCATTAGTTAGCATTTATCAGACAGTCTATATTCTTTTGTCTGGCTTACTTCCCTTAACATCCCGACTTTGAGATTCATCCATGATGTAATGTTGCATGCATCATCATTACTTTTTATTGCTAAGTAGTATTTAGTTGTATGAACATAGCACATTTTGTTAGTCCATTCACCTGTTGATAGCGATTTGGATCGTTCCACTTTTGGCTACCACAAATAAAGCTTCTAGAAACCTGTGTATACAATGAAATTGTTGGTGTGGACACATAGCTTCACTTCCCTTGGATAAATACTTAACAGTGGAATAGCTGGGTCATACTGTAGATGGGTGCTTAGCTTTTCAGTAAATGCCAATCAGTTTTCCAAAGCTGTTCCACCATTTTACATCTGCACAAACAGTGTATGGGAGTTGCAATTGGCTCTAAGTCTTTACCCACACTTGGTATTGACAGGTTTTTCTGTTTAGTCATTCTAGTTGAGTATGTAGTAGTGCCTTATTATTAACTTGTATATCCCTTTATGATTAATGATACAAGGATCTTTTCATAAACTTTTTGGCCAATGTGTGTTATATCATCTCTGATGACTAGTTTGTTCAAATTTACTGCTAATTTCTTAACTGGGTTCTTTGTAAGAGTTCTGCATTATTGATTTGGAAGAGTTCTTTATATATTGTGGGTACAAGTCACTTGTTTGATACATGTACCTGTGTTACAAATTGCTTTTCCATTCTGGGCTTCATTTTTTATTTTAAAGAGCAAAAATATTTTTATAAAGTCTAATTTATCACACTTTAACTTAAAGTCCATGATTTTTAATTAAATACCCTTTTATTAACTAAAAGTCACAGATAATCTTCTGTATTGTTCTCAAGGAGTTTTATAGTTTTAACTTTGTATTTAGATCTATAATAGATTTCAAATTTGTTTTTATGTAATGTGAGGTGAGGACCAAGGCCCATATTTTTTCCTTTATTAATGTCTAGTTATTCTAGTGCAAGATTTTGAAAAGATTTTCTTTTCCTTCTTTAATTGCTGCAACACTCTCTTGAATATCAACTGGTCATCTATGTATAGGTCTATTTCTAACTGTCTCTTCTGTTCCTTTGATCTATATGTCTCCTTTCCCAACATGACATTCTTTTGATGACTATAGTTTTACTAGGATTACTCCAAATCTTAGAATCAGGTCATGTAAGTCCTTTGTCTTTCTTTTAAATTGCCTTGACTAGTCTATTTTATTTGCATTTCCATATAAATTGTAGAATCAGCTTTTTAATTTCTGCAAAACAGTCCATCTTGATTAAGATCACATTAAAGTATGGGATAAATTTGAGGAGAAATGACATTTTACCAACACTGAGAATACTGAGCCTTAGAATCTATTAATATGGCACTTATCTATTTGTTTTTAAAATTTTTCTCTTTCAACTATTCTGTACAGAGACACAGAAAAACGCCCATCAGAGTACAGTTGGACCTCCATGTCCACACATTCCATATTCAGGGATTCAACCAATTGTAGATAGAAAATATTTAGAAAAAATATAGGCTGGGCATGGTGGCTCACTCCTGTAATCCTAGCACTATGAAAGGCCAAGGCAGGTGGATTGCTTGCATTCAGGAGTTCGAGCCCAGCTTGTGCAAGAGTGAGATCCCATCTCTTAAAAAAAAAAATAGCTGAGCTTTGTGGTGGGCACCTGTAGTCCCAGCTGAGGGTCTGGGGCAAGAGGATCACTTGAGCCTAAGAGTTTTGAGGCTGATGTGAGCTATGATGCCACAGCACTCTATGAAGGAGACAAAGTGAAACTCTGTCAAGAAAGAGAGAGAGAGTGAGGGGGAAGGGAGAAAGAAAGAGAGAAAGGGAGAAAGGGAGAGGGGAGGGAGGGAGGGAGAGAAAGAGAGAGAGAAAAAAAATCTTAAAAAAAGATCTATATCTGTATTAAACAAGTATAAACTTTTTTATAGACTTTTTTGTCACTATTCCCTATACAACATAGTATAACAACTATTTATATAGTATTAATATGGAATTATTGTATTAGATATTGTAAGTAATCTAGAGATGGTTTTAAGTATATGAGATGTAAGTAGGTTATTTGCAAATCCTACACCATATCAAGGACTTGAGCATCTGTGGATTTTGGTATCCACTGTAGATCTTAAAACCAATCCCCCATGGATACCAAGGGACAATTCAAATCACCGTAGAAATGTATGGTGTAGAAATGATGCCGATTCTACAGCCAGAAGAAGTGCTACAACTATATTCTAAGCATCATTCATATTGGGACACTTCCCCTACTGGACTTAGGTGTTTACAATGATAACTAAAGTAATTAAAATGAGAAGAAAAAAATAACATTAACTGAAAGGCTACCACAATGCTAAATGTATTCTCCTTTATCTTATTTAGTCCAGACATATGAGGAGGTATTTGTTATGACCATTATTAAAGATCACATAAAGCGTAGCCTTTCAATGACATGCTTTCATGGAATATGGGAACAGGATATGCTTGCCTGACAATCCCAAAATAAGACTATGGCACACAGAACTGAACGTCTACTTACCCAATGCCTTGAGCTATATTTTCTAATTGCCGGCACATACAAGATCGAACTTCATAATCTACATCTTGACAAAGTGATTTTACCAGGGGAAGTATTTCTCTTTTAATGCTGATGAGGCAGAGGAAAGAAACATGCAAATGGATGTTTCAGAATAATGAATATTTTCAAATACATTTTTAATCAAAATCTTATCTTAAAAAATACTTTAATATAAAATTGTAGAGTTTGCAATGTGTTTTTACATAGGTTATTAAATGTGGGTGTTATCATCAGCTATTTGTGTGTATGTGACAGAGTCCTTTTAAAACAATGGTTAACTTTGGATTTGTAGTTGAATGTCTATAGCTAAGATAAAATGCTGTATCACTGTCATACATTTTTCTAGCAAACATCAACCAAAATATCTTCAAATTTATGTTTTATTCTTCTGTCACAATTACCTATATCATTCTTGCCATTTGATATTTATCTTATGAGCAAGGAGTAGCATGTGAATTATAAATATGTCCTATAAAAACTCAAAATAAGACAAATTATTCAAAATAAAAACTCATAACAATAATGTAAGAAAGTAGAGATTCTATCTTCGTGCCATAATTACTGATTTGGGGAGTCTATAAGATAATACCCTTTATCCTCCAAAGGACACTTGGTATGAAATGGTAAAGACTAAAATGACAAGTAGAAAAAAAGTTAACCTTATCACTTTTGAAAAGCCATGAGTTTGAGAAGAAATGTATCTGAATAAGTAGACTTCTTTCTGAGAATCCAATAAAGTTAAAATAATTAAATTTATATACAGTATAGGACAATACAAATCTAATCTAAATGTTAATCATATGGTCATTACACATTTTAAAACAACTAGATAAAACAGACAAAAACATATACAAATATATAAATACTCACGTATGGGCTTCAAATTTGTTAGTCAATTTTCCTAAAATTTTACAACTAACTAAACGAGACTGGACAGTTTGGGAAAGTTGTGCCTTGGAAACAAGTGGACTCAAAATCTAAAGAGAAAAGATTTAGAGAACAAATTCACCAAGTTTTAGACATTCTTGCCACAAATGTCAGTTCTTTTCTTCAATGAGTATCTTAATGTTCTAAGTTTTTTAAAGAAACTGAATTGTCATTTGAGATGTATGATTTTTTCATAACCTGGATCACTTGATCTTCTATTAAAGGTAATAAGTTATACAATTAAAAATAATTAGGAACAAAAACCTGAACTCAAGTTTATGGTAAATTCTGCAATGGTCTCCATGTATAGAAAAGAGTATCATTTTGAAATATATATTTTAAAAAGAAAAAGGCACAAGTTACCAGATATCCTAAATTTATTTTGCCCTTGAAACATTACAGCTTCAAATAAATCATATTATGTAATTCGGTCATTTGAATACAACCACCCAAGTCTGACACTATATTATGTATTTACTGGGCACTCAAACACTCATGATAAACTATAAAAAATAAGAAGACTCTGATTCTACTCCCAGTTCTGTAGTTTGTCCAAATAATCTTGCTATTTCTCATCTATTTAAAATGAAAATTAAAATGTTATACTAAGATGTCTTTAAGTTCTAAAATTCTATGATTTTAATAGAAGGGTCAAATGATCTGTTATCGCTCAACAAAGCATCCAGAATTACTGAATACATAATGAAAAATATAATTTAAAAGTGAAAGGTTTGCAATAAAATAAATATTAATTTTTTTTATTGTTAGGGATTCATTGAGGGTACGCAGAACCAGGTTACACTGATTGCTTTTGTTAGATAATGACCCACTTATATTTGTGTCCTACCCCCAAAAGGTGTACCACACTCCTTGACTCCCCAGCCCCTCCCTCCTACCCTTTCTCGGCTCTCCCCAATATGTGGTATTTTGGAGTAAAAATTACATTCTATTGTCTATCACTCTTAAAAAATATAAATACCACATGTCTACATTACATTCAACATTTAAATATGTAATCATCTAGATGTTTGGTACCAAGTATGCCAAACTGGACAAATCTTCCCATTTTTAAGCAAGTATTTTGGCATTTGAACAGAAACATAAACTGTATGAGGGCAGAGAAAGACAAAGACACTTTGAAATCAGCAGAGGACACTTCCCTGATGGACATTCATTGATTAGTAATTGTCTTTTGGACCACAACATTTTTGGAAAGAAATCTATACAGTGCATAGGGATAAATGTACAAAGAGTATAAAGTCATTCCCTTAGGTGATCATTTTCCTATCTATTTTTCCAACTCTTTTCTAAATTTACTTAAAACCTTAAGAGAAGGGTATATTGATCAGTGTTGAAAATTAACAGGCAGTTAGGAATAATATTTGCAACAATTATTTGCAAGTGCAACAAAGGATTAGCAACCTTACTAGGTAAATAGCACATATAAATTGTGATAATAGAGTAGGATCAGACAGTTCCAAAAGAACAAACGAAATGGACATAAATATAACATATGGGAAATATTAAAAGGTATAATAATAAAGAAGTTTGGCCTATCAAATTAGATTAGTTAAAGCCCAGACTCAAAAGCTTAAGAATATTAATGTTCCCTAACACGGTAACTCCACTCTTTCAGAAACCACAGTTAAACAAATTAACTAAAAAACAGAAAAAGCTCTATAGAGATGTTCATTAGTGCCTTATTTTAATAGTAAAATTGAAGCCTGCAAACCTGCTTAAATGTTTCACAAGTAAAATATTTTGCAGCTTCTACCAAACGAGTTTGAAATAATAGAGAAAAATAATGCTAAGTAAAAAAACAATCATATATAAATTAAATATGATCACTAATATAGCAAGCTGCAACCAGAAAGAAATACACCAGAATCTTAAAAGTACAAGGCCAAGTACAGAACTGTGAATTATTTTTCTTCTATTTTCCATATTGCCTACATTTTCCACAACGTACCCGCGCTGCTTTCCAAATGGAAACCTTCATTCCTTTTTTTAAAATTATTTTTATCGCAAAGTCATAAAGATAAAAAGCCTTCGAACGACTTTTAAAAAAGTATTACCTCATGCCTTAGGGTTTCTTTTGGCAATTCCTCTATAACAGACAGAAGAGTCTCCAGCCATGCATTGCTGACACCTGATTGACACAGATACAAAATGCTCCAATGAATGTCTCACAAATTCAGTTTCAACTCAGCCATTAATAGTTACAGTAGCATTTAATGATAAAATGGAGCAATTATTTTATTACTGTTCTAGGCAGTTTATTATTTTCTCTTAGCCAACGTTTAGAAAATGTTTATATTTTTAAAATATTAGGAAGATATCTTTAAAGCACATTGTGTTTTTCTTGTAGTATGTTAATACCATAAACCTAAGTGTTGTAAAAAAGCAAAAAGAAATCTAAGAAGAAAGCATAAATCATAAGATGAACTAATGGGACATTAGCTTTCCAGAATGCTGAAGTTTGTACATTTTATAAAGATAACATTCTATTCTAAGTCATACCACTGCTTACTACCCTTGAGCAGCACGGCCTCATCCAGGCTAACAAAATTCAAATAACATCATGCCAGGTGAAAGAAACAATAAATAAATATCTAAGTAAGTACCCCAGGCCCCTGACCTGTGTCCCTGTGCTCCACGTGCAGCAGAATGACTTGGAGGAAGGAGTGGGCGTATGTATGAATTGACACTGATTCTTCCTGTAGAATGGTCAGAAATGATACTGCAGCCGTTAACTGCATTTCCACTCCTGCAACATGCAGGATTTCCTGTATAATGAGAAAGAGTTTGCTATGTTGAGAGATCAGATATTATAATTTTTAAAAAATCCACGGTTATGGAAATCAAATATAGTCACAGTCCACAAAACTACTTTTAAGGATATGTACTTCTACCTATTACTTAGAGCACTTTATATCTGCTGATTATTTAACTCCTTAGGCCACATAAAAGGTGAATGTCTTATAAAGTAACATTTCATCACTTTATTGAATAAAAATGACAAACAGTTCACAAACCTATAAACAATAGAATAGGCATTTTTAACAGATTTCAATTTCTCTTCGCTGTTTTCATTGTACAGTTTGGCATGCTACCGAGAACAATGGCCAAGGTCAAGCACGTGTGTTTACTTGTACTTCTGCTTCCCAAACTAAACACTATACATTCTACTATAAAAAAGAAATATACTTAAAAGTTTGCAAATACACTTTCCCTTTTAACAACTGGTGAAGAATATACATTACCACAAAGTAAACTGTTTTTAAGAAAGAATTTCTTAAATATCAGAGTACGTTTTTTAAAATAGATCCATAACCACCTTCATGTACTATTTAAAGAGTTTTAAAATGCATATTCAAAATTAAAGCCTACATGAGAATATTAGTTTTCAACATGTCAAAGAATTTTTTAAAAATTATCTTTCTAAACATGCTCCATCAAAGATAGTGCCCATACTTGACTAGACATATGTGTCTGTGTATATGTAATGTAAAAGCAGCTAAAAGTATTATTTGCTCAATCAATTATGACAATTATGATAATTTCCTTGGTATGCCCTGTTTATAATTAATATAGTACAGTTAGCTGAACACGGAACTTATAGCCACAAAACAAAGTTTCATATCTGTGACCTCAGGAAAATTAATTTTTCTGCATTATTTCCTAATGTATAATGTGAATTATAATAGCATTGTAATAGAGATTTAAATCATTTAAATGAGATGTTTATGCCTTACCAACGTGCTGAGCAAAATGAGCATTTAAATGATAACCATTGTATATTCGGCTGTCACGTTTCTGCATAACCCTTGGATAACCAAGTAGGAATCTCACATTTTTCACACTTTAGCTGATCTCTTCCCCCAAATCTGCTCCTCCTACAATTTTCCTCATCTCAGTAAATATTAAATGATAATTTGGCCCTTTGAACTTCTCAGCCCAAAATCTTTGATCATCCTTACCTCTTCTCCCTCTTTCACTTCTTCCCAATCAAAATACCCATAAGTCCTGAAGGATCTACCTTTAAACCTTCAAACCAGATCTGGAATCTGACCACCTATCACCTCTACCAATACCACCCTCCCCAAAGCCACCACCATCTCAGCCTGTATTATTCTCATAATTTATAACCAGTCCCTGATTCCATCACTGCCCCTCTACTATCTACTCTCTTACCAAAGAGACTCTTCTGAGAAATAAGTCAGATCATGTCATTTTTCTGCTCAAAATGTTCTGAAAAGTTCTTTTAATGAATTACAGGGTCTTTTCTTAATTCCCCTTCCTCCCAAATTTCCATATGACTGGCTTCTTGACCTCTTTTGAGCCTCTATTCAAATGCCACTTTTTAAATGAGGCCTTCCTAATAACCCTACTTTAAACTGAAAGCCACCCCCCTTACACCAGCCCTGACAAACCCCTTTTACAGTTTACTCATCACCATGAGCCAACACAAAACACATTCACTTATTTATGCTCTATTTCCACAAGTGGACCCTAGCTTCATGTCCTCCCAGCTCCTAGCACACAGCAGGCTTTCAGTAAGTAATCACTGCTTGACTAAATGTCTCTCACCCATCCACCTACACCTTCTGCTCTTATGCTCTCTCCCTTCAAATGCATTTTCGACATCTCCTAACAGGTGGCTTCCAGAGATTTTGTTGTGAATCCTAAAAATTAGGGATTGGCTGAATTAGAAGGCAAATCAAAAATGAGTCCCAAGTAAACATACTCTCAATCTTTTATCATGTCCACCCTGACACCTTCTATTCCAGCATCCCTGTAACCATGATTTAGACCATACACCCAGACTGCTGGATTCAGCACCGTGAGAAACTTCCCTGCATCATGGTGGGAAATAACATACCTATTTCTACAGCAGAAGAAATAGACTCAGAGCAGTAAAGTATTGTGCAGAAGGCCAGTGGGCTAACAATTGGCAACTCTAACTAACTGTTGTCTGCCAGATGGCAAAACACTTCTCAGCACTGAATTCTTCCCCACAGATCCTGAGCTTTCATTTGTCATGTATTAAGGGATGGCTTAAATCAACCTTGAGCCTCCATGTGCTAGTGTAGGATATCTGGCCACATAATTTGCTATGGCACATGACTGCACACCATGGTTAATTCTCAGAGAACCTATCACATATTAGGATGGCTGATTTGGGGTAGAGGGTTGTTCTAAACTTTTATATCACATGCACGAACTTATTTTACAACTCTTTCAACCAAAAGTCAATAATATACCTTAAGAGCTCTTGGCTGAGAGAAAAAGAAAGAAATGTTAAGGCCTAAAGCAGAAACAGCAACTGGTGTGTGAACTCAAGCTTCCCATACCCCCACGTTTGACTGTTTCCAAAACAAACATTTGTTCCACACTAACAATTATGGATTTGGAAAACACTTTTAAGAGATTTGAGGTGGCCAGCATACATCACTTACAAGTTCCAAAAGGCACAGCTTTTATTTAGAAACAAAGGACTTGGCAACGGAATATTAAAAGAAATCGTGAGGGCCACAGGTACATTCCAGTTCACGTGAGTCTGTTGTTTTAAGTTCCAAGTGATGCAATTCTGCCCCCTCTTAAGGTCATTAAGTCCTGGGTTTGGTACATATGGATACTTTATGCAAGAGAAGAACCTGAGAAGCTCTCCAACTTCATATCTTCTTACTGTATTACTTAGTCTTGACTCCCGCAGCAACATTTGCCCCAACTATTTTGCATTTAAGTTTCGAAAAATCCTCAAGTCTTATCAGGATTTGGGTTTTTCTCTTGTGCTGACTTCAACATCTGGGACTGTCCACTGTTAAGAAACCAGCACAGACTAAGAGATTTTATCACTGCTAAAAAATTAATTGACTTCTAAACATGTTTCTAAAAGATAATACAATAAGAGCTTGATACTTACCGATAAGTGCTCTCCTCCACAGAATCACACCCTCTGGACAAACATAAGTGAGATCCATACTCTCTGGATAAATAAGTGTGCATCCTCATGGACCTTGGAAGACACTGAAAAGGAAATTCCTCTATTGCTTAAGTGTATGCCTTAATGCCAGTTACCATTCCTCTTACATACTATTACATGGCTGGCATCCCAACTTGAATTCCTCAAAAATGAAATGAGACATTATTGAGTTAATTGGCACATTCCCCGATTTAAGAAACTATGCCCAGTCAAGGAAGAAAAAATGCATTAGATATTTCTGTGTTTAAATTCATTCTTTAGTTGGCATGAGTGGTACAAGAAAGTATCTTGTAAAAATATTAGTAACATTCTTTATAGAGAGGAAGATAGCTCTGTCTCCAATAAACCTGCATTATATCGGTCAAGGTTTCTCTTTACAATATACAATACAGAGAAGCATTAAGTAAATCACTGGTTTATTTGAAAAGAGTAAATAGTTTAGATTCACAAATTCTGAGACTCATCTTCTTTAATAAAACTAGAAAACATTTACCAGTGAATGGTGCTGGTAAAAGGCAAAGGAACTGGTAAAATTACAAAATGTCTTTGTGTAGTTCTAGAGATAACATCACTGATTATTTTGAAATTAATTAATAGGAACTTAAGTATTAAAATATTGAAGATCTAAGACATATAAAATATCAGGGGTATTGAGGGTCATAAATATGGGAATTTTCGTTAATTACAATATAGCTCTTTCACTATAAAAATGGTAATACTTATAAAAGACTTTAAAACTGAGGTAAATATGAATGATTGGAACCTGTCAACTCTAAGATACCTTTAACAATTAACTATGATACCTCATTCTTTTTCCTATCCTTGACGGCCATGCTCCACATTTAAAATAAAGGGTGGAGATAATTAGCTGAGAGCACTGAAAATTAAAATCTGTGAGGGAAAATAAAGTGAAGCCAGTAAACAGAAATAACAAAGGGATATTTTTTACTCTTCTTGAGTATTTCAGTGATTAGCAAGGTTCATGAGGAGGTACACAGAAAAGTATTCTAAAGATAACTTTCCATAAAGGAAATACCAATAGCAAATATCATATGATTATTATAAATGTACAATAAAATAACCTGCCATGCAAAATCACAAGAACACCAAGACAAATAAATAAATTTCTAGACCACAGTTTTGAAATTGAGCTTCTAGCTGGACTACTCTGCTAAGTCTTTTTCTTAAGTCTTTTTTTTTTTTTTTTTTCAGACAGAGTCTCAGTTTGTCAGCCTTGGTAGAGTGCCACAGTGTCATAGCTCACAGCAACCTCAAACTCTTGGGCTTAAGTGATTCTCTTGCCTCAGCCTCCCAAGTAGCTGGAACTAGAAGCACCCACCACAACATCCGGCTATTTTTTTTTAGAGATGGGGTCTCGCTCTTGCTCAGGCTGGTCTTGAACCAGTGAGCTTAGGTAATCTGCCCACCTTGGCCTCCCAGAGTGCTAAAATTATAGGATGAGGCACCACATCCTGCCCTAAGTCATTTTTATATATAATAAATTAGAAGCATCAGGCTGGGAGCAGTGGCTCACACCTGTAATCCAAGCACTCCAAGAATTCGAGGCAAGTGGATTGTTTGAGCTCACAAGTTCAAGACCAGCCTGCGCAAGAGCAAACCCTGTCTCTAAAAATAGCTGGGCATTGTAGCGAGAGCCTATAGTCCCAGCTACTTGAGAGGCTTAAACAAGGGGATTGCTTGAGCCCATGAGTTTGAGGTTGCTGTGAGCTATGATGCTACAGTATTCTACCCAGGGTGACAGAGTGAGGTTCTGTCTTAAAAAAAAATTAAAATAGAAAT